ACGGAGATTGCCCAGATTGAATGATGCCGCGTTGCATCAAGGCAAAGAATTTCCACAACGAAATGATGTTCAAAATAAACACCAAAGAAGCTTTCTTGAGAGCCGGCAAAAATGTCTTGCTTCAAATGGGCAAAGACATTCCGGACGACGAGAAACTCCTATAAATGCCCCGAACGCTGCTGAGTCATAAATTCCTGCTTCCCTGACACACAGCAGAGACAAAGTAGAAAGAGACGACGAAGACAACCTCCAGAGGACTTCACACCCTCCAAACTAAAAATACCATGAAAAGAAAAACCGTTCGCGATCTAGATATTTAAAAAACAAATCACAGAGAGAACAGAGAAAATGATGCACAGAGAGTCTTGCGCTTGTCTCTTGACGGAACTGAATTTGTTTGCCATGCCACTCTTGAATTGCGGTAAAGCGGTCACTAACACCCATCTAGATTTTTGCTTTGTTTAAAAACCTAACATAACAGGTATGGACAAGTTTAACTAACAGCCGTGACAGAAGATGGCTATCCTTAAAATGTTGGTTTTAACAACCGTATAAACAAAGTTTTGCAAGGATGTAGCTTAGAACTGATGAATCTTTAGCATTTGGACATATGGCTGCAAGACAAATATTTGCCGAACGGAATAGATTACCGCATGAAACTGAATCGAAGCAGTACCGCGTTCCAATGAATCCAGGTAGCCGGACTTTACGTGCGCCAATTAGAAGTGTTACCTAAAGCGGGAAACGACATCAGTCATATGTTGACCAGAGGGACTGCCAAGTAGCTGATACGACGTGTAGAAGGGAGAACTTTCACCGTTGTTGATCGAATCCGATCCAAAATCGAAGCTCATCTGTTCCAAGGACAGATACCCAAACGTTTATTCGTTGGTATCGTGAGCAATGCAGCTCACAATGGAGTCCACGATCAAAGTTCTTTCCATTTTAAGCACTACAGTGTCAAAGATCAAAGTCAGTTGCAATGGTAAAACCTTGCGTACCAGACCCTTCGAACCTAACTTTGTCCAGACGAATTACTCGAGATTACACTGGTGCTTGTTCAAAACTACAGGACAGATAGGAAGGGACACCAGCCTATACTTTTCATACGAAGATTATGTTGCAGGTTACTCTTTGTGAGCTTTTGATTTTACGCTAGATCAAGGCAGCAAGGAGGAACATTTTCACATTATAAAATCTGCTCAACTGCGTGTGGAACTTCATCTTGCAGACGCTCTCGCCAAGATGGCGAATGTCATCCTGTTTGCCAAATTCGCTAATACCATAGTAATCAACCGTTTGAGAAAAGTCATTCGATACTGTTAGAAACTATGGAATAATCTTATCCCTTTTTGAAAGGTAGATAATATTTGGAAACGGAATGGGATGATACCGTAGAAGCAGAACCCGACGACAAATATGAAGAGGATGTGCATGTCACTTTCATGAATCCAGAACAAAATCAACATTTAGTGTCTTGTTTCGCTACACACCTAACAGATAAAACTACGGAATTAGTCAAGCAGGATTGTCAAAACGATCGTCCCAGTCACACAATAAATATCTGATGATGAGTCAAGAAGAAAACTTGGACGAGCATCAGAAGGACGCTTGGGTTGTCATCTCGGAAGTAGTGTTGCATGAGTGATATAAAGGCTTGCGTGGTCATTCCTGTCCTTAATTGTCTACTCTAAATACCTTTCGCAGCGAATCTTTCTTAGTCTAGAGTGTGGAGACGAAACAAAGAAACTGTTATTTGACAGAGATTTTCAAACAAAAGTCAGAATTGAATTGATGACTTATCATTATCTACGAAAATGGATCTCTGGAAACTTTATTACCTTCTGTACAACAGTTTGTACACTGCTTCTTGTGATCCTGTCGTGTGTGCTAAAGATAAACGACCTCATCGCGAATGTCATCTCCCAGGAACCCACTGGGAAGCCGTCTACTTCCTTAAAGAGGATTATGTGGAATATTTTGTCTCGTATTGATTACACACTTTGGAAGACGTCAACATTAAACGCATGAGAAGAAATGCCCAGACGACACAATTCAATACTGTGATATATCCTTTAGAACATTTAGTGACTTATTTTGATCGTAACTCATCTAGAAACGATGAGAAAGTAGATCGATGGTTATATTACTATTATGGTCGTAATTTTTCTTTAGCTAGGAAACGTAATGTGCATCAATGAACTCACGACTTCCATGAATGGAAATCTAACTTGATATCACAAAGTTATCAACCTGGACAAACTTGTTTGTTTGATATTATTGTTAAATGTCAGTTGTTAATTGTTGTTTGTAGAATAAAAATATTGTCTTTTAAAAATTGTCTGTCGTTTATTGTTTAAATTCTTTTATTAACATAATGCTTTTCGACTTCTCTCCTTATCTCTCATCATAACAGTAGTTATCATAACTTTCCGACTCAACAAATACCCAGTAGATTTGTTTTCTATCGCGTCCGCATTTGAACCATATAAAGCGGGTCGGTCTCCAGTCTGGTCATCCATTGTTGACTCGTCAGCATACAAAGATGCTTTAAGACTTGCCTAGCTGAACGTAGGTTATGTGAATTTACACCGTGTCAGCAAAACCTGATACCGAAGCCTGAAGAGATAGATAATGTAAGGATGCTAACCATAGCCAAATACCTGTCAGAAGAGGTCATCAGAGAAGAAATCAAGAAAGAAGTAAAGACTTCAGAAGCAGCAGAGAGAACAGTAACAACATCAGCAGGAACCAGAAAGGTTTAGTTTACTGCCATGTAGACACCAAGGAGTTATCCTTCTCTTAGACGATAAATATTTGCCATCAGTTCCCGTCAACACAACAGCCTTTTTTCAGGGTTATCCTAACACTCTAGAAAATATATACTAATTCAGTTGACAAAATATTTGTATGTTTGCATGTTTAAAAAAAATATAAGTGTGTCTATAAGCATTTCGTTTCTGTTTTGTCCAATATTGTATGGCTGTGTTTGTAAGTAAAAAAAAGTCAACGTCAGTATTTCTTTCAGGTCCGCGCGTTCAGTATGATAGTTATGGTGGTTTTGTCAGTTGTTTTTTTTTTCATTTCCTCTACTAGCCTTTGAAGGAAGAGGACGTGTTTCTTGTGGCTCCCGGCGAGGAGCAGGGGGGGGCGGAAAGAGGTTAGGCGGGGGGGGAGCAACGATGGACAAAGAAAAGGAACGCAACTCGGAACTGGATTTGGATAATATTAGGAGTGATTCTCTTCAGACGGACTAACAATGTAAAAGGCGGTAAGGATAACGTAAACTTAAGTTAGATAGAACAGATTAAAAGATTAATCGACTATTGAAGAATCACTCGCCTATAAATTAAATTATCCCATTACTTTCCTAGTTAATATCAACTTGATCATAAAAAGCAAATACACTCCCACTGTTACAAAGAACAACATTAAACGCTTTATTGTTAAAACAGAACAAACAAAACGGCGATATACATATAATAAATAAATTCTTGTAAAGTGGGATAAACCTTTTTTTTACCTCAAAACCCTCGTATACCTGATCGAAATAACATTTCTTGGTCTTACTATATAAAGTCCGTCTGACATACCAGGATAAATATAGAAGCGCGTTACAAAAACGGAACCTCTCTTTAAATAAGCATATTATATAAGGCCGCAGCTGATTGGCCGAATTTTTTGGCGCACACTTTATCTAATTGGAAAACAATAATGGGATAGGAAAGGATTGAAATGCAGACACAAACCAGCCAATTAGAATTGAAATAATCAAGGCTTAACAAAAACAATAATAATAAAATAAATATCAGTAATAGAACAAATTAATCTAGCCGCAATCTATAACACTAAATAAATCAAGTAATGATTGTTACTACTATACAAAAGTTACACTAATAATAACAATAAACGTAGGATAAATTAACAATAACTTCAATATAAAGAATGTGACTAGGAAATGTTTATTAATAGTTGTAAAAGGATAGTAATCTTAATCAAGGTCTTCTTTCTTCTTCTTTGTTCTTCCCCGGGGACTCCTGGGGCTCGTCCTTCCTCTTCAAAGTTCCAGAAGGCCCAGTTCGGGGCCCAGCGCCCTCTTAAAGAGACATACGCCCAGCCCAGGACCACAAACAGTCGCACGAATGTCACCAGGCAATAAGCGACTATAATCCAAAGTCCATTGTCAGTTTTTGTGTCATTGGGTCTCCTTCACGTACGTTAACCAGGGATATAAATCAAAGCGACCGTTTGTCTGGCTGCACACCGTCGGAACGTCAACTTCAGCAACATGAAAAAAATCACCACGTTTTTTGAACTCCAGATGCACCTGGAATAATCCAGACGTCTCCTAGACGAATTGGCCATGGAGGCAGTCCAGGAAAATTCCAGACTTAGAGAAGATGAGGAGAGGAAAAGAAATGAAGATGAGAAGGAAAAGAAGTGAGAGATCATGCCTCATCTCGTGTTAATCACATGTGTGTGATGTGAAGCCAATACCAGTACACTTCCACAACCACTAATGGTACCGCCACTTCAACCACAGTCACAACCACCACAACAACAACAACCAGTGCAGCGTGCAGATAATGTAAGGAGGCCAGATCACCATTCCCAGGTCTTGCACAGAAGAGAGTAGGAACAACAAATGTTCACTATCCCACAAACGGAGAAGTGGGATAATGAATACATTCAACATACCTCTGCGTTCCCAAGATAAAGATTGACAGGACTAGAGCAGATGTTGTGTTTGTGCGGCTACAACTGAAAGATGCCACTATTAGCCAGGAGCAATTGGAGTTTGAAAGAAACAACAGCCCTTCTCAGGGCTAACCAAATTCCTAGAAAAGAAACACTATTCAAGTTGCCAATTTATGTGAATGTGGAGTAGTGTAACTATAAACATTAATTTCTTTACTGATGTGTGTGAGTGTGTGTTTTTATGCGTTCGCGTACGTTTGTGTGGATAGTAGATTGTTGTGTTTTTCTTCTCATCTTATACCGCTCCGGTGGCCTAGTGGATATTGCGTCCGCCTCAGATGCGGGAGGCCGTGGGTTCTAACCCCGGCCGAGTCATACCAAAGACTTTTTAAAATGGTACTAACAGCTGCCTCGCTTGGCGCTCAGCATTTGTGTTAAGAATGGTTTGCCAGGTGTCAGGATAATGTGACTGGGTGGGACATCATGCCACATGTCTGCGGCCTGATGCTCCAGTGCTAGACATCACTATAATCTGTCACGCTGCAGACATTGTAGTGATTTGAGTGAAACATTATTAAAGCTACGTTAAAAATGTAAGTCACACACACTCTTCTCAATAGTAGACTTTGGGGTTTTTGATAGTAAATATGGTGTCTTTTTTCTCTTCCATTCTGTGGGATAGTATATATTGTGTGGGTTTTTTTCTCTTCCCGTCTGTGTGGATAGTAGAGTTTCTGATTGTAGGCGTTTGTGTACGTTTGTGTGGATAGTATCGTGTTTTATGCATTCTCGTACTTTTGTGTGAATAATAAAGTGTGCTTTATTCGTTCGTGTACGTTTGTGTGGATAGAATATATGGTAGTTTTTTCATCCTCTTCCCGTATGGGTGGATAGTAGAGTGTGTTTTTGTAGACACTAGCGTTCGTTTGTGTAGATAGTAGTGTGTGTGTGTTTTTTTTCTTCCCGTCTGTTTGGATAGTATATAAAATGTGAAGTGAGTGTAAGAGATGTTTTCATTCATGTCCGTGTTTCGCGTATATAAATGCATAGCGTTCGTCATTCGCACATTTCAAGTTTTAGTTGAGCTGTTGAACAGAGCGGACGTGTTTACCTGAGCTCCCGGACTCTATGGATAATATTGGATAATTCACTTCATATAATGGATACTAGACTTAGAAAAGGCTAAGGTAAAGTAAAATTTACTTAAATCACGAATATAAATATTACTATCAGTATTATTAAAATGTTACTGTCGTTATCTTAGACACAATGTAAATATATAATGAATCTAACTAAAAGTGATTTCTAACTATTACCTTAAATAACTCTCTACTATGACTAACAATATAAAATATACCCTCTCTTAATAATTATAAAGCAAATTAACTAAACCAAAACAAACAAAAAACAAACAAAAAACCTAGCACTTACAACAATTCCTTTGTCTATAAGTAAATAAATACGTGTGCTACATTTATCTTGGGCAATATTATAAAACCACACCACTATCCCTAATCATTATCTTAATACTACTCAATAATATAAACTCTCCACAAAAAATGATCCCTAAAACTTTTAATAGAAAAAAAATTAAACATTAATTTTCGCCCGCCAGACAAAAGTCTCCCTTCCCCGTGCCGGGTAAAATATTGAACCAGCTTACAAATTAGGTAATACAATATAAATAAGCCTTCAATCTAAGATTGCATTTGATTGGCCGAAATTTAGGCGCGCATTCCCCATACAGAAAATTCAATATCGGGCCAGAGTAGGATTGAAAATTAAATCTTCAACAACCAATCAAATATAGCATTCTAATGACGTAAGCAGGAAATTCAGCATTAGTCCAACGCTCCCCACTTTGTCACAAATTCAATAATTCTGAGAATTATGCCCACTTATTAAACTTATTATAAAATATAAAACTATAAAGAATAATTTAGATCCCTTGTAATAAGAACCATAGCAATTATTACACCTTACCTTTAGTCAATGTAGCTTTAGTAATAAGCATAAATAAATCATAAAAATAATCATAACTATTTATAACATACATATGCTGTATGTGTATTTTAATTTGCCTTATAATAACTATATATACTCTAATTAGTATTGATAACCATCTATAATACTACAACTGAAGCACGTAATACGAATGAAATACCATAAAACATAATTTTATTATAAAACCTAAATAGAAAAAAATGGAACTAGAATAGGATTGAAAATTCGGCATTTATCATCCAATCAAAACCGACGAAACAACCTTATAATTTTGAATCATCCAATATTACTAAATCAAAAATGCAAGAATAAAGAAGAAAGTATTCAGGACCTAATAGGAGGGAGGAGGGGAACCAACATCAAAAGAGATGCCTACAACAAACCATCAACAAGAACAAATCATCAGTATCAAATAAAGGAATTCAATAAGCCTGTATCGGAACCCTAAAAACCCATCCCCGCATACAAACATATACATAACTGCAAGCACCATACCTAGTCCATACCATAAAACAGGCGCTAGGACTCATACTAGCACAAACTTGGGTGGATCTTGACTCCTATAAGCACTATATATATAGGATAAGATTTCCCACCATGACAGGGACAAAAAGGTCAAGGCCGCTAAGGGGAAATCAGGAACCTCCCACCTGATAGCCCTAACTCCCAGGAGCGGAGTAGACCGATTAGCCGGACGCACACAAAGACCGAAAAGTAACCTGGTAAAGGCTACAATCACAAAAGTGAACGGAACGGACAAACAATTAGCGATGGACAGTCCGGGCCGCGCGGCCAACTGTTCGAAAATAAGTCTACAACCTATGTCTTCACTTTAACCTGGAAGACCCAACATTAAAACGAGATCCTTTGGAAAGGCAGTCAAAATTAAAACCAAACATTGTCAAAGCTGTGATAAATGTCAAAATTAGATGACAGACACCTAGAGATTGAGATATTTTTTAGAACCATATAAGTACGCTAAGTACGCAAAATTCAACCTCATCAAAATATATTCAAAATTCGCAACTCAGGAACATTTGGATAATTGAATAGGTGGCTAACACATCATTGGTATAGGGACACCCGTAGGAAAAACTTGTTAAATTGGCAATAATCCACTTGAGATAAAGTTAGGTGAACTTAGACATTGGGGACTTTAGTAGGCGGGAGTTGAGGCGGAAGGCCGTTACGCTCTGTTACAATATTTAGCCAACCAAAAGGTCTTAAGGTCTGCAAATAAAAGTCAGCACCACGACCAAAAGCCCAGCCCTAGGGCTAAGCCCCTCCCTGAATAGCAATGTAATCGAAAGGTAACATCCGGCCAAGGCGGTGAGCCACCAGGGGGGTTAATAGGCCCACGCGCTTCGGCAAAAGTATATAGCACTGAGACACGGGTGAGCCCGGACCTGGAAGGGGAAGAGGCCACTAGCTCTTATCAAGTCATAAAACACGAGAGTGTATACATGACTATAATACATATGACATGACATTCGCAAATTTCATCGATTGATTGACCTTCGAAGAGGACAGACGTGTTTCTTGGAACTCCCGAAGAACAAAGAAGAAGAAGAACAAAGAAGAAGAACAACAGAAGAAGAAAGAAGAACAAAGAAACAGGATTTTTTACTATTGTGTTACACAATAGTAAAAGCGGATTTAAATACAAAAGAAGGAAAAGAAGAAAGAAGAAAGAAGATTGTTGCAGATACAGTATTCACCAAAATACTCTGCCTTCCACAACAGTGGGGAAGTGAAAAGATTATCAACATCTATTTGCCATACATTGGGCTCTCTTCTGGATATATTGAGCCCTCATTGGGAATACAACTTAACATGAGGCCCTTAAAGGAATGATTGGTTTTAAATAATTTTCCAAACTAAATTAAGATCTCAACTTGCAAAGGATACCTGATACCCACCAAATTCGACATACTTTTCGGAAAACAAAAGTACGCACAGTACATCAAAAGCAAACAAAATCTAAACATGAAAGGAAATTTCACAACTCGGGTATATTTGAAACGTATGTGGCTTACACATGTTTGACAGGTAGTTAGGGACCCCACCCCCGCTAGACAACGTGAAATACCTGATCATATTTTCACTACGTTTTACTTGTGGCTGGCTTTGGTGTTCATGGCATCCATCAATGGGCATGGTCACTGAAACAGCAAGGAGTGGAAGGACTGATGAAAGGAGACTTCAACATGGAGGGAAAGCGCCCTGGGCCATAAACTTCCACACAAAGAGAAAAGATTATAGTTTTCATTTGCCTTCTAGTGTGAATGTGGGCCTGGGGTAGAGATTGACTATCTGCGGACCTTGGCTCACGGTGATGACATTCAAGGTGCGGCTCTTTCCTTTCCCTTCGCTTTCTGCCCTTTCCTAGGACTGGCATGGTGGTTTTCTGGGACCAGTTAACAATGTACACTTCAAAGGTCTTAAGGTCTCAAAAAAGGCCAAGCTTCATGGCTAAAGCCCAGCCCAAGGCAAAGTACCTCCCTGGACAGCAATGCCACTGAAAAGTGACATCCGGCTATGGCGGTGAGCCAACCAGAGGGGTTATAAGGCCCATGTGCCGGAGCAGATAAAAATGTGTCCAGCACTGGTACATGAAAGAGCTCTGCCTCGAAAGGTGGGGAGCCACTAGTCCTTCTCAGGGCTTTAACCAGTTATAAAAGCACGAAAGTGCATACACGACTATAAAGAATATCAGCATCAGTATACGCGCATTAGCCTAACACTTCTCAGATATGAGCAGTAATCAAAACCACACTATAAATTCTAGCAACACGGGGGAAAATAGGATAACTCCCACAAGCTCCAATTCAAAGACCTATGAACTAAATAATCAAAATTAAAAAATGATATCACCACATATTATTGGGAAATAGCGTTAGTGTCCAAAACAGAAACATCACCTGCTAAAGATCAAATTGGTTACATCGTCTAAAATTAACTAACCACTAACTTTACAGAAACAATCATAAAATTAATCAACCAAATATTGAATAGTGGGGTAATACCAGGCAGTTGAAAACATGCTACTATAGTACCGATCCCTAAACTGAGTAAAGATCCAAACAGTATAGAGTCATACAGACCCATCTCCTTCACAAACAACATGTGTAAACTCATGGAATAAATATTGGCCAATATATTAAAACACCACTACGAAAGTAACAACCTATTTTCGGAAAATCAATGCTGCTTTCGAAACAAGCGATCCAACACTGACCATCTGTTAAGGCTAGAAGCGGATATTAAATTAACTTTCAACGCCAAAAGAAAAACAGATAGAAACCAAATAGATGTTTTCCTCGACCCAGAAAAGGCATTTGACCTCGTATGAACGAAAGGTCTAATAGCTA